TATGTGTCAGACACTGTTTAGGGGATTCGGCACAGAACCATCTTATAGACCTCCCACTTCAGTCCAAGAAACCTCTGCCCTCGTGGCACCTATATTTTAGCAGAGGTGGAGGTAAGGGGCAGGTCCTATGTCACATGTTAAAAACTGATGTGAAAAAAAATAAAGGAAGAATGGAGGGTAAGTAATGTGGGCAACAGGCCATGTATGTCTTCATGAGGATACTAATAGGGTACCAGTTATGTCACAAATTGAAATAGAAAAGCTATGGAATCTGTATTTCTTCACAGCTGAAGAGTGTAGCCTCTCACAGAAGAACAAGTATGGGGGTGGGGAGGGTCATCTTCTAACAGAGACCTGGAAAGGATCTTAGGTACTCACTGTCCAGATAAAGGTATTAAACGATCAAAAAAGCAAAGAACTACCAGTAACTCCAGAATGGATTTTCTGTAAGGTAACAAGGTCCACAGGGAGGGTTGTGATCACTTGGCAGTAAATAACCTTTCGGCCTTCCCATATCCCAAAGGCACTTAAACACCAGACTCTGGTAGGTTTCAAACAGCAGATTTAATAAAAGCTAAGACAGTGACATTAAACACCATGAGGAAAATGATATTCTCTATAATAGGGCAAATTAAGCTGCTAGATAGCATTTTTGTTACTGTATCTGGGGAATAGTATCCAGATGTAGAAAAAGTGGAATCCTGCAGAATGTAAGGACACACATTCTCTTAAAGACTTCTGTCCATTTGGGTGTCTCCTTGTTTTTGAAATTTTCTTGGGAGTTGAGAGGGTGTTTCCCAGGATTGCCTCCTACTTGCAAGTAGTAACCTTCCTCGCCACATTTTTAAAAAAGATTTATTGATTCTTTTAGAGAGAAAGAGAAAGGGAGAGGGAGAGAATCTCAAGAAGAATTCCTGCTGAGTGGGGAGTCCCATGCAAGGCTCAATCTCATGACCCTGAGATCATGACCTGAGCCAAAATCAAAAGTTGGATTTTTAACCCACTAAGCACCCCCAGCATCACCATTTCTCGCCATCCTGATCAGCATTAACAAAGCCTGTCCATCTGCTTAGCTGGCTGCTACTTTTAATAAATGTGACCTGACGAGATGGAGGAATCATGACGTTCACCGGCTTTATAATATCTGTTCTGTCTACTTTGCAGAAAGGTGAATCTCAAAAATGAAACAGAAATAATTGCCTTGTAAATGGTAAATTAAAATTAAGATCTGAGACAATCACTTGATTATTTGCATATGGCAAAAAAGTTGAGAAGGCACTTTATTTAATGAAAAATATTATTATCCAAATAAAGAAGGTCTTAAGTTTTTTGATTTTGTGATATTGAATTTTCCCATCTGTTTGGGAAAAAAAAATCCATGCAACAGATACTAAAGTTAAGGGGTTTTTTTTTAATCTAAAAGTTTAAATTTGCAAAGTTTTAAATCTAAAATTGGGCCTTGACCAACATGTAATGTTTTAAAAATCATTCCTGTTGAGGCATTAATTCCTAGAAAATCTAAAAGCTACAGACTACAGAAAAATGGCAGTTTGGGAAGGAAAGGGCTTTTTTTTTTTTTTTTTTTATAAATTAATTTTTATTGGTGTTCAATTTACCAACATACAGAATAACACCCAGTGCTCATCCCGTCAAGTGTACCCCTCAGTGCCCGTCACCCATTCACCCCCACCCCCTACCCTCCTCCCCCTCCACCACCCCTAGTTCATTTCCCAGAGTTAGAAGTCTTTATGTTCTGTCTCCCTAGGAAAGGGCTTTTTTAAAAAATCTTTCAATAGAAGCAGATTTGCCACAAAAAAAAAAAAAATGGCACTTATGTGACCCCTGTGAACGCTAGGAATAGCATGGCATGAAAGAACTTTCTAGTTGGGAAAAGGCTGCTGTTCTACAGAAGGACTTTTGATAAACGGTAAACCACCTGAAAAGAATTCAGAAGGACAAATCTCCAAGGCTAATGTAATCTGTTGTGAATTGTTTTCATTTTAATAATTATTTGTTCTCAACCCTGATTATGTACTTTCTAAAAGAAGGCCCGTGGAATTATATAATCTTCAAGTCCACTCCAGAATCCCTGTATACATATCTAACCCTGTTGCACAGACGAAAAGAAATTTAGGAAGCAGTTTCTTTCTTCTGTCGTTTGAGGAAAGTTTATAAGGAAACAGGATTGTACTTTCATTGTAGGAAGAGGATTGGTTCTGAATTACCAGTATGTCTGGTTTCAGAAACAAAGCAAGAAGGTTAAGGTCAGAAGATACTTTCACATCTGGCTTTCTCTAAACAGAGTTGGCCACTTTAAATAAAAAACCTTCTAGCCAGAATGCCCCTTGTTCGTAGTTTTCTCCCATTAATTGATCCATGTATGGCAGGACCAAATTCTACTGCTGGTCCATCCTCCTGGGAACAAGATGGGTCAAATCTATTCTTATTACTGTTGACAGTGCTACATACTAAAATTATGCCTTCATTTACAATATAGTAAGCTTCTGTGTAGAATGCATTTCTATAAATAAGCATAAAATCTAACCATAGGCTATCACTGCAAGTCAAAAGCATGAAAAAGGGATCCCTGGGTGGCTCAGTCGGTTGAGTGTCCAACTCCTGGATTCGGCTCCGGGCCTTATCTCTTGGCTCCTGATATTAACCCCTGCATCAGGCTCCACACTCAGTGAGAGTCAGTCTGGATAGTCTCTCCCTCTGCCCCTTCCCCTGCTCACATGCACTCTCTCTCAAATAAATAAATAAATCTTTAAAAAAATTAAAGTATGAATAAATTTTTAAAAAAGACTATCTGTATTTACAATGCTATCCAGGCAAAAGGGAGAAGAAAAACCACGTGTACCAAGCTTATTGCAGACCCTAATAAGCCGATGGAATAACAGCTCTGCCTAAAACAGTAAAAGCTCATCCTAGAGGCAGAGCCTCGGGTGGTGGCCTCTGCAGCTCTAGGACACCCACCAGTCATTTCCTAGGTGACAAGGAAACTTTTCAGTATCTTTTTAAGGACAAGGTATATTAATTACCATTCTTCTTGCAAGAGGTATTTGATATTTGCTCAGAGCGCCAAGGCCATGATCAGAAGCCTGGGTCAGCTCAGGGAGACAATGGAATTACTGGTCTGTTAAGGCCTGTCCTTGCTCCTTCTTCTCTAGCTTCTGTTATCAATCGCATACATCAGTGTCAGAAGCCTGCCTGACCCAGGGGCTCCCTTGGTGGCCTATGACAGTGATCCCACATTGCTACCAAATACTTCCCCAGGTGCACTCTGCTTTCACAGCCCTGTTACACTTGCTTTTCTGGGTTTTCATTCTACTCTGCTCAAATGATGCAGTCACAAAAGACAAGCCTATAGACATGCCCAGTACAGTGAAGGCACAGCAGTCAAGAGCTCATGCTTGGACATCTGCTGATCTGGGTTTGCATCTTTTGACACTGATATGACCTACCTCATTAAAGACCAAAATGCACAAAAGGCACAGTTCCCAGGACCCATAGTAAAAGCTTGCAAAGTGTTGGCTGTTATTACTCTCACTTTGGCTCGCATCCCTTGGCAACAAATCTAACCCCCTTATCTCCCCTCAGTCCCCAGATCTTACCCACCATCTGACCCCAAAGGATTGCACCACCAGAACTCTGAGCAGCTCTCACTTCTTGCAAAATTCATTTGATAACCACCACGTTTGCCTTGTCTTAACCTTCCTTTTATCTTGCATATCCTTCTACAGACCCGCTTCCTGTCCCCTGCAATGGGTAAATGGTGGGCTGTTTGTCAGTCTGTTCATTTTCCCTGCAGCACTGAGCACAGTGGCTTGGCCATAGAAAGCTCCAGAACTTCTGTGGCTTGGCTGTATTCAAAAGTTGCCATGGGAAGGACAAAGCACGGGATTTTGAAATTTGAGTTGGGGCCATTCCAATTCTTTTGGTGGAGATTATTTGAAACTTTCACACCAGGTCATGCAAATCCTCCCTTCTGTGAGACTGTATATATTTCTAACTTTATATTATTCCTGTGGTGTTATATAAAGATCAGTCTTCCCACCAAGTTCAAAAGCAGCTCGCTGCTGGAAGCAGCTCCATGGGGGCATTGAACAAGAAGAGAAACAGGTTCCACATGTTAGGAGAGTCTCATTGAACCAAAGCAATGGCCAGTCTCCTCACATGGGACTTTCTCCTTCATCTGTCTTCTTCACGTTGCATGAAGGCTCACTTCACTCCATGCCAAATCACCATCTTATGTATCCTCGATAGTGGTTGTTAAATTATTCCTTTGTTTATGATTCAATGGAATGATGAACAGAGAAAGTTTCTTCTTCAACCTGTGGCCCTTATATAAAGACCTATCAGTCAAGGTGCTTGATTATGACCCTATTTGTGGTCCCGTGACTTCACGTGGGCCTACTCAAACTGGTGACAATGTGGTGAAAGATTCACTTTCCAATAACTACCACCACAGGGCCTCTAGGCTCAAGAGCTAAAAAAAATAACACTCAGCATATCCTAGTTTGGGCAGAGAGGCATACGCCTTGAAATATACACTTCTAGACAAATCTATGCAAGGGATCAGGCTACTCCCAGAGTGAGAGCTACTGACTCTTAAAGGCAACCACAATTCTGAAGTTTCCAACAAGAATTCACATCGACGCCAGACAAGTAGTTAGGAGAGGCAACTATTAAAAAAAAAAAAAAAATCCAACCTAAGTCCCAGACAAAAATGTCTAAGAAAGATGAAACATGACTTCATATCCTCTACCCAAATTTTGACAGAACTTCTTATACCTGAGTGTAGAGGCCACCCAAAAGGTCAGATAAATAGTTCCTTTTGTAACCAATGGATTGTTTTTGTTGTCCACACCATCTGCCCCCAGGTGGGACATGTATGGTCCAACCAGGCCTGTTTTTATTGTTTCCGGTGGATTCATAGCAGGTGTTTTAAGTCCCCCAGTCCCTCCCTGCTTCTGCCCAGAGCCTGAAAAGGCACTTACCATCTGTGACAGTGACTTCTTCCTCCTGGCCATTCAGGGCTCCCTCCTGGGGGCTGAACTCTTCTTCCTCAGCTAAGCCGTTGGCACTAGACAGCTGACCATTCTTCTGCAGAAGCTACAGGGAACACAAAACCATGTAAACTTACTTTCAGTGATAATGAAGATTTAAGTCTTGCATTAGTCTGAATGAGTCAGCTACATTACAAAAGGTACCCCAGGAGCTACTAACCAGCAGGTAGGGCTTTGTGTCTGGGTAAATGAGCACACCACTCCTTTATCCACTCATACAAAAGCCATAATAGACAAACTCACCATTCCAGGCCTATTCAAGATACAAGGAGTAACTCAGGTGTGGTCCCAGCCCCTTTGAGCTTACAGACTATGAAAAGTAGACTTTTAAAAATTGTTTTTTTCAAGGCACCTGGGTGGCAGAGTTGGTTAAGGGACTGACTCTTGATTCTCACCTCTTATTGGCACTGCATGGTCATGAGCTCAAGCCCAGTGATGGACAAGTAGCCCAGTGTGGAGTCTACTTAATTTTTTTTTTCTTTTAAACAACACTTCCTTGTGATACAGGGTATGCATATTTGACCAAAATATACTTATGTGTCAATATGTCCTTCTCAGACAAAAGGAGAGACATGTAAATAAACAATTAGGGAAATGGTCTTGACTCATAACAGAGGAATATATACAAGTCACAATAGAGGAGCCCTAACCTATGGGATGTCTGGAGAGGGAGGAAGTACAGACAAAGCTAGATCTAAGTTCCCACACAATGGGCGTGTGAGAAAGGGTACAGGGGAAGCAGGGAAAGGAGGCAAATATGGAATCCCAAGGATCAAAGATCAGTGTAACCAGAGACAAGAGAAGAAAGAGAGATGGGTAACTTGTGCTTCTGTGAGTCCTTGTTCTTTCCTTAAAATATCACTAAAATGGTCAGTTGTCCTCTACCCCCAAGATAACCTGTGCAATGGATGTTTTCAGTTGCAAAAACAGTAGACATGAGATATGCCCTTATATCATTTTGTAAATCCTGAGAATATGGGTAAAAAGTTTTAAGGCTATTACAAAAAGAGTACAATAACCATTAGGATAAGGATTTCGACAAAGCTTTAGAGCTCACACACTTACCATTTTATCAAAACCAATATGGACGGGGGGAGTATTTCCATTTTACAGAAGAGGACACTGGAACTCAGTGTGATCACAGAGGGTGGGGGTTGGCTGGCCACAGGTCCCACACCCTAGAATAGAGGCACCATAGCCCAAAAAGGCCACCACTCACCACCAACTATTTCCAGGCTTTTCTCACAACACTACAGATTGCTGAAGGGCCTATTGCTATGCATAATGATAAAATGCCATTTAGAGTATTCCATAGTCTAGGGACCTACCAACTCCAAGGAACTCTCAAAGCCACGGCACTCCACTTGGCATCATTCCATGCTGTTTAGAGGCTAATGGAGCACACTGGCCAAACCACTGACTTTGATCAGAGTCTTGAGGGGATAGCAAGTTCAAGACCGTCAATCCAGAAGACTAGAACTGAGCTAAATTGATTTCACCTGGCTGTTCCCAGCTCCCAGCAAAGTTGCCCTTCAACATGAGCTGCTTCCTGAAATAATACCACTGTACTTTAATACATACTCTACAGATGGAATAGTTGGCTTCAAAATGTGCATGCTGAGTCTATTTATTAGACAGAATCCTTGGATTACATTTCCACTTTAAGTCTTCTCTTACCAAAATATGAAAGATAGAGGAGTCTTAAATGAAACCTAAGGACAAAAGCAGGGGGAGGGGGAGGTCTCCACAACGCCCATTAGCAAGAATGTCAGCCTTTAAGAGTATCTGGACTAAAAATTGCTAGTTATGTTAGTATGTCAGACTCAGATTTGATTAACAACATGAAGAAGAACCAGAGAAGGAAAGCAAGAAACACTTATTACCATCGGATGCATGGAAACCCAATGACTCTAACCTAAGAAACATTGATGTACACACCATGATATGGCAAACCAAATGGGGATCATGAGAAAGCAGGTTTAATGCCTCAATTTTTCAATGCAATAAACAATGCTCCTTGTTTAGGAAACAGAATTCTGAAGTTTTACAGAGTTTAGAGTCCTACAGAATTTTTTTTAAAGATTTTATTTATTCATGAGAGACACACAGAGAGAGAGAGAAAGAGGCAGAGACACAGGCAGAGGGAGAAGCAGGCTCCTCGCAGGGAGCCCGATGCAGGACTCAATCCCGGGACTCCAGGATCATGCCCTGGGCTGAAGGCAGACGCTCAACTGCTGAACCATCCAGGGATCCCCTAGAGTCCTACAAAATTTCTACAATTCTTGAAAGAGGTCTCATACTTCTTTATGAATTGTCAAACTCAAGATATCTCATATCCAGAGCCAAATTGAGTGTCTTTAAATGTGAAAGACCTATAGGATACAGGCACAAACTTTCTTCTGCCCTTAAATGTTACATACATATAACAAAGCACATTAAATGACATCAAATGAATCTTAAAAACTGAGATCACCTGCTAGCCCTCCTTACAAAGTTGATCATTGTGGATTAGTTTTTCCCAGTGACCACAGTGCAACTGTCTCTACTTCCAAAAGGCACCTGATGAATCAACTTTGGTAACAGACAACTGATGATAAGGACATTATTAAAAACTGAGCTTTGAGCCAATTTTATTATATGCATAGCTTGGGTCTCAAAGCAAGGGGACAACTCAAGCTTTGACCCCCGCAGGTGATATCTCCAGTGAGCATTCAAAGCCCATGACACATCCACACTCCACACACAAAATTAGGACTTCATTCTTAACCATATTTGGATTATCTCCATCATTCTGAGTTTCATTTAGAGAGATGCTGTTTCAAAATCTCATATGTCCATATAGATGGATAATTCACTTTTTCATGACAAAAAGAGTGTTTTCTGGGGCACTTGGGTGATTCAGAGATTGAGCATCTGCCTTCAGCTCAGGTCATGATTCCAGGGTCCTGGGATGAGTCCCACATGGGGCTCCCCACGGGGAACCTGCTTGTCCCTCTGCCTATGTATCTGCCTCTCTCTCTGTATCTCCATGAATAAAAAATAAAATCTAAAAAAACGTGTTTTCTTTTTTCCCCACCCCCAAACATTTATATACTATTGTTAAAGATCCAGGTGCTTCTGAGTCATCAGTAAGTTAAAGTCACCTCAAATTGTAAGAAACCAAGCCCACTGTCCCTTAACATTAAAGTCCCTTTTGTCTTTATGCTTATATATATTCATAAGCATTTGTAAAAAGGGAAGAATATATACTTTTACGCTTTATTTATTTGAGAGGAGAGAGTGGGGGAAGGGCAGAGAGAGAATATCCCACTGAGCACAGAGTGCAACCCAGAGCTCAGTCTCATGACCCTGAAATCATGACCTGAGCAGAAAACGAAGAGTCAGGCGCTTAACCAACTGAGCCACAGTGCTCTGAGAAATACATGTTTTTTCATATGTATTTGGCTTGTCCTCAGTCATTCTCTTTTGTCTGTAATTCAAATGCCCACAGAACACAAGGATTTATTTATCAATTATGCCCAGGTAAACACCAAGAGCAAAGGACACAATTTAGTGACAGGGGATGAGAATGTTGGAGCCAGATGAAGTATATGAAATATGAAGGCCATCTAATTCAGGGAAGAAAACAGTTATTAGGATTCAAGTTTCCAAACAAGAAAGAAAATGTCTCCGCTCTTCCACTCTGCAGCTCCCTCACAGATTTCTCCATACCTTTTGTACTTACTTTTACACTTGGACAAACACAATTATAGAACCTTGACTGTTAAGATAGACATTAAACTTGAAAGACATGCTCCCTGCACTTATACACAGTGAGCAGCACCAGAAAACCTCTATTCCCACTGGATTTGTGCTTCAAAAAGGGTAACCACCTCTTTTGAGCAAATCAAAACCCTTAATGTTTTCAAGCTTATATCCTTTGAGTGGGTCAGCCAGAGTTTATTCCCGTAAAGTATTACCACATTACAACTCAACAAGCTTTAAAAAGAATCTCAATGTTTCCAGCAACCGTGTTTTCCTCTCATTGCTCTATGAACAACAGAGAATATCCAAAATGGCAGCCAAAAAAAAAAAAAAATCAGACTTCTCCATTCCTCTTCCTCCTCTATAGGACTCCCCACAATTTGCTCTGAGCAGAGAAAACAGCAGGAATATCAAGATTTTTTTTTTTTGCTTTTTTTTTTTTTTTTTTTTTTGCTTTTTAAAGTAGGCTCCATGCCCAGCGTGAGGCCCAACAACACGGGGCTTGAACTCATAACCCTGAGATCAAGACCTGAGCTGAGATCCAGAGTTGGACACTTGACCAACTGAGCCATTCGGGCACCCCCCCCTTTTTTTTAAGATTTTATCTTTAAGTCATCTCTTCACCCAATAGAGGCTCAAACTCACAACCCCGAGATCAAAATGTCCGAATCTCTACTGAGCTAGCCAGGGGCTCCAGGAGTATTAAGCTTTTTAATGAGGAGTGTTAAGCTCTTTAATGAGGGAGTTAAACTATGAGCAAAACAGATGAGTTCTTGACAGCTCTCAAGATATTGGGGGAAGAAGAGAGGAGCCTGGTTAAGTAACTTTCACCACAAAAGTGATACTCTGTCTACGTCTTCACTGGATGACCAGCACAGCTGGGACTGGCCTCACAATCCTGCTGTGCACATAGTAAATGAGGCTCTGATCAGAATAATTCTGGCAAAATGCAAGAACTAAAATTGTTATATGGATGTAGGTAGGACCAATCAGAAGTAAGTCAATATGACAAGGACACACAAACAAATGATCAGAATAAAAAAGATTATCTGCGGGGAATTTTATTTTATTAAGTTTTTAAAATTTAATAAATATACCCAACATGGGACTCAAGCTCATGACCCCAAGATCAAGAGTTGCATACTTCTGACTGAGCCAGCCAGGTACCCTTATCTGGGGGAGGGTGGAAGGAGGAGTATTTTAAATCCCTGATGAAATCTGTAAAGAAAACTCTTCAATGTCTTTTTCTTCATTCTAATAGGGAGTGTTTTTGAAGGTAAACCTTTAAAAACGTCAAACAGA